TTTATATATATGCGTATATATGTTGACATAAAAAAAATGTCTAAACAATTTGTTTAGAGTATCTAAAATATTATAAACCTAATTTAATAACGATAATATCACGCTTTTGCGTGAAGATTTAGATGATCTATCTAATAAAATTTGATTACACAAAATTTCAAAATTATTATTATTTTTTTCGTTGTTACCCTAAAAGAGAATTTGTAAAAATATTATTAATTAGACAAGTGAAAATTAGTTTTTTTACAAATTTTAACATAGATAATGAATTTATAGAAGTAATTAGACATTAATGTGAATTAATTTTTTATTTTATTTTATTTCTTTAAATATGTTAAAATAGATAATGGATGAGATTTTTAAACTCGAGAGATTTATTTAAACTTACCTAGATTTATGCATAAAGATAAAATAAGATTTGGCAAAACCTTATCAATTTAAAAAAGACTATCAAGAATATTAATATGGTTCCGATTTTTAATGAGTGTGGAACCAGAACTCAATATTTTAGGGTATTTATTTAATGTTGTCCAAAAACCTTTACAAAAATTTCTAAAAGTAGTATGAATTAAATGTTGTCCTAAAATCTTTGATATCTATTTTTGGTGAATGTCAATTTTTTTATATAGATATAGATAATATTAATATAATTTTATTAATATGGTAAATTTATTTGTTATATATAAAAGATTGACTTCACTATTAAACCAACTGTTGGTTTCATAGCAAAACCGTTTATCATGGTTTAGGTTTTCACACACGCCATGTTTTTTACAAAGATGGCTACAAATCGTCTCCTAATAAAGTAGTGACAAAAACACTTCAACACATTGAGTAAATTAAGGATGGGTTGGAGTTGGACTTTGGTAAGCACAATAATTCGCTTTGTGAAGTTTGTTCAAAAATCAACATATTGTTGAAGAAAATGGTTATAATAAATAATTTTAATTATCTCTCCTCAAATATATAATACTACCACTATGTTTGGTAAAATTAGCTGATAAACTGGTAGATAAGCTAATTTATAATTTATCAGTAATTTTTGAACTTATAGTCAGTTATAGCTAAACAACTAGCTTAGACGATAAAAATGTTTGGTAAAATTAGCTGATAAGCTAGCTGAAGTAAAAATTTTCAACGGGCTTATTTGAAAAGCTACCCAAAGAAGCTTATAAGATGAGCTCTAGCTTTTTAAAAAACTCATCCTACCAAACGAAATTTATTTAAATACAGGAACTTTATAAAATAAGTTATAAACTACCTTATTTGTCTGCCAAACATAAGTACGTGATATTGTAACTACTCCAAGAATTTCTTTTTTTTTT